GCATATAATCAGAGTCATTGTAACGCACAGTGTGCTGGTCCTGAAACTCTAGCCCAAGGCTTACCCTCTGTTCTTGGCTTTTTCCAAGATGGTATGAAGGGGCAGCTCATTCACTGCAGGATCAAAGTATTGAGTAATACACTCGTCACAAACTATACATTTTGGAGCTCTATAGAAATATAAGTTCAAACTTAAGTGCAAACAGCTGCACACAATGAACATGAGTGGTGTGGCTGCTATTTCAGATTGCTTCAAGACAGATGTATCAAGCGGGTGTATACTAGGGTAGTACTAAGAACTTCTGAATCACCTTGACCGAGTACACAAGCTATACAATATTTTTAAGAAAATGTTTACCATGGGATGGTACTGAAAACGTGACACTTTAAAAGCACAGGTGTTCCATTATGAAAGACTACATAAAAGGGATACACTTAATGAAAGAGCCGTATAGAGAGGTGGTGAGGTGAGGTGAAATTGGGTTTAACGTCGCGTCCAAGATTATTGCACTTATATAGCGACGTGCATGCACGTGTGTGTGTGTGTGTGTGTGTGTGTGTGTATGTGTGGCTGCTTGTACTAGTCCGGACTGATGCCGATTTATAGTGCTAGCTCACTGAGATACCATGCTGCAGTTTAACATGAATACCCCACTCAGACACAGTATAGTGACTCCGAGCCGACCAGTCCTTGTTTTAGCCCCTTAATGTCGAGCGCCAGACAGGGTAACAACAAGTACCATCTTTTAACGTCTTTTGGTATGACGCGGCCGGGGATCGAACCCCGGACCTTCCGCTCTCCGGGCGGACGCTGCCGTATAGAGAGTGTGTTACTAAAAACTCGATATTGATCAAAAACGAGAGAGTAACAAGTGGTGGCTTTGCGGATTCGTTCTCTAGAAAACGTACTAATTAAAAATCGTATACCATCACTCACAAGCAAAGTATAGTGAGTCAGAAGTATATGTATACACCATTTGTGTGCGAGGTGTAACAGTTGATACCATTTGAAAAGAACAAGGCAACATAATGAAGTAGTTTTTCCCGTGAGAAAGTGACAACATGCTGAATCACCTTACTTGCAGAGTGAGTATAAATATAACGTGTTAGTGGTTCATTTCGGGAGAAGACACTTTACTCGAAAATGTCTGACAATCACATCCACACTACGTTTGAGTGGGCTGCTGGCCATTGTCTGTCCATCAACTTGTTCCGTGATGATGCTTGGGTGCACCTTTCAAACTACAACAGCAAAAAGGAAAGGAAAACCATTTCCTTGAAAAGCAGTGTATTTAGAAAACTGATTGAAGATCGCGAACAAATTCTATCTGCTTTGGAGGACTATTTTAAGTGCTTTGGCTATTATTATTATTATTATTATTATTATTAATTTATCCTTCCTTTTCAGCCATCGTGGGGTACAATGCTCAGTGAGACGAGAAAGGAAAAGACTGCTTCGGCGTAGATTGCATCGCGGGTATTATCGACACATACGCGAGCATCTCACTGTGTTTTCTAAAATAAAAGCATATTTTTAATCAGAAGGTGTGTATGTTTTATGTTTCAATTCGCAGTTATTCGCTCTCATGGCCTATCAATGTGATATGAGCCACTAGTGTGATACGAGTTACCTCCCTTGGATCACGAGGGCAGGCCGCTCGCTTCACCCGTCTTTCGGTGTATGTATTCATGCCAGCCAGCGTTCATGGTTTCTTCACTGTCAATAGTGTATTACCTCCCTTACACCGGTAAGCCGTTCGTCTGCAGGTATCTGGTGTAGCCGAACGGTTTGACCGTTGTTTTTCCAGCTAAGTTTACTACATGATGATATATAAGAAGAAATTAAATCCAGCCATGTACAATTGATGGAATAAATATGATTAAACCAAATATGAACTGAGCAAATGGTTAATTCAAACGGAATATATGGAGGAATGATTAATGAAACAGTGTTGTACAGTCATAAGGTAAGTTCACTTATTTTCATTATTACTATTACATCAATTAGTTATATGTCATAAAGCAGAAAACATACGAATTACACATCTGCAGATGGGTATAATGTATACTTTCTACTCAAGTTCTAACATAATGGCAAACACAAGTAACAGCGATATTATCTAGTTGGTGATCGTCTGAAAGCAACATTTAACCCTTAATGTTACGTTAGCACACTGAAACAGATAAAAAGTTAAAGAGTGATAGAAATGTTAATAGATAAAGGTTAATAGATATAGGTGAATGAATACCGCTATGAACAATAACATAATATTTTAACACTTAGTGAAACGTGAATGAAGTAGAGAAAAATGTTTATAAATGAATTGACATCGGTGAAAGGGTTAACAGGTTCAGCGGCTAAAACCCACACACGAATAGATTTACTCTTGCGTGTAAAGAGTGGGTGAGAGAGCTACCCCTAGTGTATTGATACTAATGTGCGGTGACATAGTTACATGTTTGAACAGAGCGAATATATACAGAGCCAGCCTTACTGCTAGTCTCCTTTAGCAAAATTTGCTTCTATTGTGTGAAAGGTATTGACTGGCCTCTGTGGTATGCTCCACAAGAATGCTTTTGTTTGTTTCTTTACTCTATGCTCAACAGGAATGCTTTTGTTTGTTTCTTTACTCTACGCTCCACAGAAATGCTTTTGTTAGAAAAATTCCATGCTCCACAGGAATTTGTTGAAATTCTATGCTCCACAGGAATGCTTTTGTTGGTGCTCCACGCTCCACAGGAATGCTTTTGTTAGAAAAATTCCATGCTCCACAGGAATTTGTTGAAATTCTATGCTCCACAGGAATGCTTTTGTTGGTGCTCCACGCTCCACAGGAATGCTTTTGTTAGAAAAATTCCATGCTCCACAGGAATTTGTTGAAATTCTATGCTCCACAGGAATGCTTTTGTTGGTGCTCCACGCTCCACAGGAATGCTTTTGTCCGGAAGGTATTACGTTCTCTCTACTACCGCTCTCAATGCGTCATATTACCACTCTCGAAAAAAAGGGCAATCGTGGTGTATAACATAACACTGAAAAAGTAGTCAACTTGACATGCATGTCTTTAGAAGCTTGCTACTACAGCTTTATTAATCACAGCGAAGTAGATTTCGCTTGACAAAATATTATCGCTCCGCTCTTATATGTAAATGTACCTGGGAATCTATGCACTGCATAGACATTTGCATTTATCCTACATGACTGGCTTTCCTTTGTTTCGAAGTTCTAAACAACGAAAGTAGCTCTTCTTGTCTCGCCTCTATCTATCAAGAGAAGCCAACTCATCAACTTCAGTGAATTCAGCCTGGTTCCCTGGGTATGTAGCGCCAGCGCAGCACACCCAGGGACCAGGCTGGAGTGAATTTTGAGTGATTATTTTACGGCGCTTCACGTCTTTCGCACGTCGATGTTAATGGCGTAAACATAGATAATATTGCTAAAACAGTTTTAACACTGTCGTCGTGGTTTTGAGATTGAACCTATGTCAAGGAAATAGAGTTGTGAATATATTAGATTTCAGGTTATAATTGTTTAATGTCGTTACAGCACGGAAAATAAAATTTATGGCAGTGACCTTCACCCTTAACATATCCGGTTGTAAGAAAGACGTGTGAGTTTTTAAAACATTTACATTTGTTTTAATTCATAATGAAAGGGGTAGAAAAGAAGGGATGTGAAGCGATCTTACGTAAACTTGACCAAGAAGAAGTTATGTCATTGAAAGACACTGTCACAAAGCGGCAGATTGCAGCTGAAAATAAAACAGGTTTGTAGGCTAGAACTCCAAATGACCTCATGTCGTCTTGACGGAAGATAGGCTACACATTAACTGTATAGGATGTAGGACTACTGCACTTTACCATGCTTATTGGACTATTTATATCTTGCAAGTGATGAAACATTGCGGGTACCGATCGGAATTTCCGGCTTGTCTAAGGCTACATGGGAAGGTGCTGTCGTTCCCATGTACCGTGCATAGCGCAAAAGATACGAGTGTCTGTGGTCCCATGCAGGGGAGCAAATGCTGGTTATGCGATAAATAAATCCAAATATAATTTACAAATTTATCATTGTCTCCTGATTTGGGTCTGAAATGAACCTGTTGAAACTAAGGGTAATTAGTTATTCTTCCCCGCCCTTAAGGCGTGTAAAGATGTGTAAGTTTCCCTAAGACCGAAAACGGGTGTTGGATCGTGAAGCGAGAGTCACCAGAGCGTGAGGCACGGTAACGATATAACGAGACAGCGGTGGCACTATAGCGCGGTAATTGAGCGGATGGTAGAGCTCGGGCTGCGCCCGGTAAACTGCATTGTTGCCAAATTTTATTAGTTGTCTTCATAATCACATGTATGGCGCTTGCTGTGCATAGTTGAGCACAGCATTGTTTTAGATACTTCACTGTATGTAATGTATGGTACATACCGTTTCATGCGGCGGTTTACGTTTCTGCATGGTTTATTGCTTTGACAACAACAAAAATAACTTCCAGCAGAGATCATACACCCGTACATGTTCTTTGCTTCTGGATACATAGGAAATCAACAGGTTGGTCTGTAGTTTGCAATTATTTTCCAAAAGGATAATACGTTTGCATGATATCTTCACGATGTTTGGGTTGAACATAGTAACATTCTTTCAAACAAATTTCAAATCTAAGCCGGAAGCAATCACAACACAAACCCAGTTAACCAAACGGAACCATACACAAGAGTGAGTGAGGTAGTTGGGTTTAACGCCGTCTTGAATAGTATTCCGTGTCAGCTTGATGTGGGAGGAAAGTCTGAAGTGATGCAGGACTTAGACGTTCACCACTTTGGTGAAACCAACGAGCAAGGGTTTTGTGCTGACAACAAAATCGGGGCGAACCGAGATTCAAACACACTGTCATAGGTTTCTGGCGTGCCAAAGGGACACAACTCTGCATAGCGAATTGCAGCGCCTTCGGCGACTGGGCCAACCATGCCCCCGTAAACAACTGTAAGAAACCATAATACAACAAAGATGTTTTAGATGAGATATGTATTGCAAGTTACATACATGGCTATTTACAGTACTGAAAAGTGCTGAAAAGTTTCAATAAATATGTTCAATATATTCAAGTATTTAAGTGAGAGGCGATTTTATGATGTTGTACTGGGTAAATTCATGTGACAAAATTGTACAGATGGTTATCAAGTCCACTCACACACAAAAAAGGCACATTGGAAGAAATTACTGTTTTAAAACAAACACATTGGAATCATGAGTTAAAATACATAGAAGAAACAAGGAAATATCATATCCACTTCAGGTCAGGTGTGTGAAATCCACTTGGTATGGGCATAGATACATATATATTATACAACAAAGTTTGTCCTATTCATTTTAATTTCTGACAATATGATCATTATGTGCATAGATTTATACATACTCCCTTTTGGTTTCACTTCTCCAAACACCTGCTCCCGTATCACCTTCCATCGGTATAGCATGCATCCATAACAACAAACAGCTTTCACTCACTCTAAAACTCAACCTCATAACATATGTTCTGAATGTAAAAATAGGGACATGTCTGATATCTTGATACCTCTCTCTGTCATTCTGAACAGAGTCAGCCTTTAAGGACATAAGGACATTACAAAAAAGTAAATTTCTAGATTATCTTTAGAATATCTCCTACAGAAATAATGTATCTCGTCTACAAAATATGTACAATTCTTAATTGTTCAGCAATATTCAATTACACATTTCAGGGTTGATTCAAGTGCACCTTATCAACACCATTCACTTTTATAAAGATGAAAATCAATTCCGAAAATTCACTTAAAATGCAGCATGCGTGTTGCTGTATGCAATAGAAATGACATAATCAAAGCAATCTCTACCAATAGCAGAGTTCAACCTTCAAACTACAAATTACAGCATCATTCATTATATATACAGGGTTTATGATGAAGTCTTCTCACTGCTTTATTAGCAGGATTTGTTTTGTCCAAGTGGCTATGTGAAACATAATATATCCCCAATCACTACTACAAGTTGGCCTCTCAAATACAAGTTATATACATGGCTATTTACAGTGCTGAAAAGTTTCAATAAATATGTTTAATATATTCAAGTATTTAAGTGAGAGGCGATTTTATGATGTTGTACTGGATAAATTCATGTGACAAAAATGTACAGATGGTTATCAAGTCCACTCACACACACAAAAGGCACATTGGAAGAAACTACTGTTTTAAAACAAACACATTGGAATCATGAGTTAAAATACATAGAAGAAACAAGGAAATATCATATCCACTTCAGGTCAGGTGTGTGAAATCCACTTGGTATGGGCATAGATACATATATATTATACAACAAAGTTTGTCCAATTCATTTTAATTTCTGACAATATGATCATTATGTGCATAGATTTATACATACTCCCTTTTGGTTTCACTTCTCCAAACACCTGCTCCCGTATCACCTTCCATCGGTATAGCATGCATCCATAACAACAAACAGCTTTCACTCACTCTAAAACTCAACCTCATAACATATGTTCTGAATGTAAAAATAGGGACATGTCTGATATCTTGATACCTCTCTCTGTCATTCTGAACAGAGTCAGCCTTTAAGGACATAAGGACATTACAAATAAGTAAATTTCTAGATTATCTTTAGAATATCTCCTACAGAAATAATGTATCTCGTCTACAAAATATGTACAATTCTTAATTGTTCAGCAATATTCAATTACACATTTCAGGGTTGATTCAAGTGCACCTTATCAACACCATTCACTTTTATAAAGATGAAAATCAATTCCGAAAATTCACTTAAAATGCAGCATGCGTGTTGCTGTATGCAATAGAAATGACATAATCAAAGCAATCTCTACCAATAGCAGAGTTCAACCTTCAAACTACAAATTACAGCATCATTCATTATATATACAGGGTTTATGATGAAGTCTTCTCACTGCTTTATTAGCAGGATTTGTTTTGTCCAAGTGGCTATGTGAAACATAATATATCCCCAATCACTACTACAAGTTGGCCTCTCAAATACAAGTTATATACATGGCTATTTACAGTGCTGAAAAGTTTCAATAAATATGTTCAATATATTCAAGTATTTAAGTGAGAGGCGATTTTATGATGTTGTACTGGATAAATTCATGTGACAAAAATGTACAGATGGTTATCAAGTCCACTCACACACACAAAAGGCACATTGGAAGAAACTACTGTTTTAAAACAAACACATTGGAATCATGAGTTAAAATACATAGAAGAAACAAGGAAATATCATATCCACTTCAGGTCAGGTGTGTGAAATCCACTTGGTATGGGCATAGATACATATATATTATACAACAAAGTTTGTCCTATTCATTTTAATTTCTGACAATATGATCATTATGTGCATAGATTTATACATACTCCCTTTTGGTTTCACTTCTCCAAACACCTGCTCCCGTATCACCTTCCATCGGTATAGCATGCATCCATAACAACAAACAGCTTTCACTCACTCTAAAACTCAACCTCATAACATATGTTCTGAATGTAAAAATAGGGACATGTCTGATATCTTGATACCTCTCTCTGTCATTCTGAACAGAGTCAGCCTTTAAGGACATAAGGACATTACAAAAAAGTAAATTTCTAGATTATCTTTAGAATATCTCCTACAGAAATAATGTATCTCGTCTACAAAATATGTACAATTCTTAATTGTTCAGCAATATTCAATTACACATTTCAGGGTTGATTCAAGTGCACCTTATCAACACCATTCACTTTTATAAAGATGAAAATCAATTCCGAAAATTCACTTAAAATGCAGCATGCGTGTTGCTGTATGCAATAGAAATGACATAATCAAAGCAATCTCTACCAATAGCAGAGTTCAACCTTCAAACTACAAATTACAGCATCATTCATTATATATACAGGGTTTATGATGAAGTCTTCTCACTGCTTTATTAGCAGGATTTGTTTTGTCCAAGTGGCTATGTGAAACATAATATATCCCCAATCACTACTACAAGTTGGCCTCTCAAATACAAGTTATATACATGGCTATTTACAGTGCTGAAAAGTTTCAATAAATATGTTCAATATATTCAAGTATTTAAGTGAGAGGCGATTTTATGATGTTGTACTGGATAAATTCATGTGACAAAAATGTACAGATGGTTATCAAGTCCACTCACACACACAAAAGGCACATTGGAAGAAACTACTGTTTTAAAACAAACACATTGGAATCATGAGTTAAAATACATAGAAGAAACAAGGAAATATCATATCCACTTCAGGTCAGGTGTGTGAAATCCACTTGGTATGGGCATAGATACATATATATTATACAACAAAGTTTGTCCAATTCATTTTAATTTCTGACAATATGATCATTATGTGCATAGATTTATACATACTCCCTTTTGGTTTCACTTCTCCAAACACCTGCTCCCGTATCACCTTCCATCGGTATAGCATGCATCCATAACAACAAACAGCTTTCACTCACTCTAAAACTCAACCTCATAACATATGTTCTGAATGTAAAAATAGGGACATGTCTGATATCTTGATACCTCTCTCTGTCATTCTGAACAGAGTCAGCCTTTAAGGACATAAGGACATTACAAAAAAGTAAATTTCTAGATTATCTTTAGAATATCTCCTACAGAAATAATGTATCTCGTCTACAAAATATGTACAATTCTTAATTGTTCAGCAATATTCAATTACACATTTCAGGGTTGATTCAAGTGCACCTTATCAACACCATTCACTTTTATAAAGATGAAAATCAATTCCGAAAATTCACTTAAAATGCAGCATGCGTGTTGCTGTATGCAATAGAAATGACATAATCAAAGCAATCTCTACCAATAGCAGAGTTCAACCTTCAAACTACAAATTACAGCATCATTCATTATATATACAGGGTTTATGATGAAGTCTTCTCACTGCTTTATTAGCAGGATTTGTTTTGTCCAAGTGGCTATGTGAAACATAATATATCCCCAATCACTACTACAAGTTGGCCTCTCAAATACAAGTTATATACATGGCTATTTACAGTGCTGAAAAGTTTCAATAAATATGTTCAATATATTCAAGTATTTAAGTGAGAGGCGATTTTATGATGTTGTACTGGATAAATTCATGTGACAAAAATGTACAGATGGTTATCAAGTCCACTCACACACACAAAAGGCACATTGGAAGAAACTACTGTTTTAAAACAAACACATTGGAATCATGAGTTAAAATACATAGAAGAAACAAGGAAATATCATATCCACTTCAGGTCAGGTGTGTGAAATCCACTTGGTATGGGCATAGATACATATATATTATACAACAAAGTTTGTCCAATTCATTTTAATTTCTGACAATATGATCATTATGTGCATAGATTTATACATACTCCCTTTTGGTTTCACTTCTCCAAACACCTGCTCCCGTATCACCTTCCATCGGTATAGCATGCATCCATAACAACAAACAGCTTTCACTCACTCTAAAACTCAACCTCATAACATATGTTCTGAATGTAAAAATAGGGACATGTCTGATATCTTGATACCTCTCTCTGTCATTCTGAACAGAGTCAGCCTTTAAGGACATAAGGACATTACAAAAAAGTAAATTTCTAGATTATCTTTAGAATATCTCCTACAGAAATAATGTATCTCGTCTACAAAATATGTACAATTCTTAATTGTTCAGCAATATTCAATTACACATTTCAGGGTTGATTCAAGTGCACCTTATCAACACCATTCACTTTTATAAAGATGAAAATCAATTCCGAAAATTCACTTAAAATGCAGCATGCGTGTTGCTGTATGCAATAGAAATGACATAATCAAAGCAATCTCTACCAATAGCAGAGTTCAACCTTCAAACTACAAATTACAGCATCATTCATTATATATACAGGGTTTATGATGAAGTCTTCTCACTGCTTTATTAGCAGGATTTGTTTTGTCCAAGTGGCTATGTGAAACATAATATATCCCCAATCACTACTACAAGTTGGCCTCTCAAATACAAGTTATATACATGGCTATTTACAGTGCTGAAAAGTTTCAATAAATATGTTCAATATATTCAAGTATTTAAGTGAGAGGCGATTTTATGATGTTGTACTGGATAAATTCATGTGACAAAAATGTACAGATGGTTATCAAGTCCACTCACACACACAAAAGGCACATTGGAAGAAACTACTGTTTTAAAACAAACACATTGGAATCATGAGTTAAAATACATAGAAGAAACAAGGAAATATCATATCCACTTCAGGTCAGGTGTGTGAAATCCACTTGGTATGGGCATAGATACATATATATTATACAACAAAGTTTGTCCAATTCATTTTAATTTCTGACAATATGATCATTATGTGCATAGATTTATACATACTCCCTTTTGGTTTCACTTCTCCAAACACCTGCTCCCGTATCACCTTCCATCGGTATAGCATGCATCCATAACAACAAACAGCTTTCACTCACTCTAAAACTCAACCTCATAACATATGTTCTGAATGTAAAAATAGGGACATGTCTGATATCTTGATACCTCTCTCTGTCATTCTGAACAGAGTCAGCCTTTAAGGACATAAGGACATTACAAATAAGTAAATTTCTAGATTATCTTTAGAATATCTCCTACAGAAATAATGTATCTCGTCTACAAAATATGTACAATTCTTAATTGTTCAGCAATATTCAATTACACATTTCAGGGTTGATTCAAGTGCACCTTATCAACACCATTCACTTTTATAAAGATGAAAATCAATTCCGAAAATTCACTTAAAATGCAGCATGCGTGTTGCTGTATGCAATAGAAATGACATAATCAAAGCAATCTCTACCAATAGCAGAGTTCAACCTTCAAACTACAAATTACAGCATCATTCATTATATATACAGGGTTTATGATGAAGTCTTCTCACTGCTTTATTAGCAGGATTTGTTTTGTCCAAGTGGCTATGTGAAACATAATATATCCCCAATCACTACTACAAGTTGGCCTCTCAAATACAAGTTATATACATGGCTATTTACAGTGCTGAAAAGTTTCAATAAATATGTTCAATATATTCAAGTATTTAAGTGAGAGGCGATTTTATGATGTTGTACTGGATAAATTCATGTGACAAAAATGTACAGGTGGTTATCAAGTCCACTCACACACACAAAAGGCACATTGGAAGAAACTACTGTTTTAAAACAAACACATTGGAATCATGAGTTAAAATACATAGAAGAAACAAGGAAATATCATATCCACTTCAGGTCAGGTGTGTGAAATCCACTTGGTATGGGCATAGATACATATATATTATACAACAAAGTTTGTCCAATTCATTTTAATTTCTGACAATATGATCATTATGTGCATAGATTTATACATACTCCCTTTTGGTTTCACTTCTCCAAACACCTGCTCCCGTATCACCTTCCATCGGTATAGCATGCATCCATAACAACAAACAGCTTTCACTCACTCTAAAACTCAACCTCATAACATATGTTCTGAATGTAAAAATAGGGACATGTCTGATATCTTGATACCTCTCTCTGTCATTCTGAACAGAGTCAGCCTTTAAGGACATAAGGACATTACAAATAAGTAAATTTCTAGATTATCTTTAGAATATCTCCTACAGAAATAATGTATCTCGTCTACAAAATATGTACAATTCTTAATTGTTCAGCAATATTCAATTACACATTTCAGGGTTGATTCAAGTGCACCTTATCAACACCATTCACTTTTATAAAGATGAAAATCAATTCCGAAAATTCACTTAAAATGCAGCATGCGTGTTGCTGTATGCAATAGAAATGACATAATCAAAGCAATCTCTACCAATAGCAGAGTTCAACCTTCAAACTACAAATTACAGCATCATTCATTATATATACAGGGTTTATGATGAAGTCTTCTCACTGCTTTATTAGCAGGATTTGTTTTGTCCAAGTGGCTATGTGAAACATAATATATCCCCAATCACTACTACAAGTTGGCCTCTCAAATACAAGTTATATACATGGCTATTTACAGTGCTGAAAAGTTTCAATAAATATGTTCAATATATTCAAGTATTTAAGTGAGAGGCGATTTTATGATGTTGTACTGGATAAATTCATGTGACAAAAATGTACAGGTGGTTATCAAGTCCACTCACACACACAAAAGGCACATTGGAAGAAACTACTGTTTTAAAACAAACACATTGGAATCATGAGTTAAAATACATAGAAGAAACAAGGAAATATCATATCCACTTCAGGTCAGGTGTGTGAAATCCACTTGGTATGGGCATAGATACATATATATTATACAACAAAGTTTGTCCAATTCATTTTAATTTCTGACAATATGATCATTATGTGCATAGATTTATACATACTCCCTTTTGGTTTCACTTCTCCAAACACCTGCTCCCGTATCACCTTCCATCGGTATAGCATGCATCCATAACAACAAACAGCTTTCACTCACTCTAAAACTCAACCTCATAACATATGTTCTGAATGTAAAAATAGGGACATGTCTGATATCTTGATACCTCTCTCTGTCATTCTGAACAGAGTCAGCCTTTAAGGACATAAGGACATTACAAAAAAGTAAATTTCTAGATTATCTTTAGAATATCTCCTACAGAAATAATGTATCTCGTCTACAAAATATGTACAATTCTTAATTGTTCAGCAATATTCAATTACACATTTCAGGGTTGATTCAAGTGCACCTTATCAACACCATTCACTTTTATAAAGATGAAAATCAATTCCGAAAATTCACTTAAAATGCAGCATGCGTGTTGCTGTATGCAATAGAAATGACATAATCAAAGCAATCTCTACCAATAGCAGAGTTCAACCTTCAAACTACAAATTACAGCATCATTCATTATATATACAGGGTTTATGATGAAGTCTTCTCACTGCTTTATTAGCAGGATTTGTTTTGTCCAAGTGGCTATGTGAAACATAATATATCCCCAATCACTACTACAAGTTGGCCTCTCAAATACAAGTTATATACATGGCTATTTACAGTGCTGAAAAGTTTCAATAAATATGTTCAATATATTCAAGTATTTAAGTGAGAGGCGATTTTATGATGTTGTACTGGATAAATTCATGTGACAAAAATGTACAGATGGTTATCAAGTCCACTCACACACACAAAAGGCACATTGGAAGAAACTACTGTTTTAAAACAAACACATTGGAATCATGAGTTAAAATACATAGAAGAAACAAGGAAATATCATATCCACTGCAGGTCAGGTGTGTGAAATCCACTTGGTATGGGCATAGATACATATATATTACACAACAAAGTTTGTCCTATTCATTTTAATTTCTGACAATATGATCATTATGTGCATAGATTTATACATACTCCCTTTTGGTTTCACTTCTCCAAACACCTGCTCCCGTATCACCTTCCATCGGTATAGCATGCATCCATAACAACAAACAGCTTTCACTCACTCTAAAACTCAACCTCATAACATATGTTCTGAATGTAAAAATAGGGACATGTCTGATATCTTGATACCTCTCTCTGTCATTCTGAACAGAGTCAGCCTTTAAGGACATAAGGACATTACAAAAAAGTAAATTTCTAGATTATCTTTGGAATATCTCCTACAGAAATAATGTATCTCGTCTACAAAATATGTACAATTCTTAATTGTTCAGCAATATTCAATTACACATTTCAGGGTTGATTCAAGTGCACCTTATCAACACCATTCACTTTTATAAAGATGAAAATCAATTCCGAAAATTCACTTAAAATGCAGCATGCGTGTTGCTGTATGCAATAGAAATGACATAATCAAAGCAATCTCTACCAATAGCAGAGTTCAACCTTCAAACTACAAATTACAGCATCATTCATTATATATACAGGGTTTATGATGAAGTCTTCTCACTGCTTTATTAGCAGGATTTGTTTTGTCCAAGTGGCTATGTGAAACATAATATATCCCCAATCACTACTACAGGTTGGCCTCTCAAATACAAGTTATATACATGGCTATTTACAGTGCTGAAAAGTTTCAATAAATATGTTCAATATATTCAAGTATTTAAGTGAGAGGCGATTTTATGATGTTGTACTGGATAAATTCATGTGACAAAAATGTACAGATGGTTATCAAGTCCACTCACACACACAAAAGGCACATTGGAAGAAACTACTGTTTTAAAACAAACACATTGGAATCATGAGTTAAAATACATAGAAGAAACAAGGAAATATCATATCCACTGCAGGTCAGGTGTGTGAAATCCACTTGGTATGGGCATAGATACATATATATTATACAACAAAGTTTGTCCTATTCATTTTAATTTCTGACAATATGATCATTATGTGCATAGATTTATACATACTCCCTTTTGGTTTCACTTCTCCAAACACCTGCTCCCGTATCACCTTCCATCGGTATAGCATGCATCCATAACAACAAACAGCTTTCACTCACTCTAAAACTCAACCTCATAACATATGTTCTGAATGTAAAAATAGGGACATGTCTGATATCTTGATACCTCTCTCTGTCATTCTGAACAGAGTCAGCCTTTAAGGACATAAGGACATTACAAAAAAGTAAATTTCTAGATTATTTTTTTTCCTGCCTAGGTTTATGTCCATATTAAGCTCAATTCACATAACAGAAAGTGTGGCTAATATCTCCTACAGAAATAAACTATCTCGTCTACAAAATATGTACAATTCTTAATATTTCAGCAATATTCAATTACACATTTCAGGGTTGATTCAAGTGCACCTTATCAACACCATTCACTTTTATAAAGATGAAAATCAATTCCGAAAATTCACTTAAAATGCAGCATGCGTGTTGCTGTATGCAATAGAAATGACATAATCAAAGCAATCTCTACCAATAGCAGAGTTCAACCTTCAAACTACAAATTACAGCATCATTCATTATATATACAGGGTTTATGATGAAGTCTTCTCACTGCTTTATTAGCAGGATTTGTTTTGTCCAAGTGGCTATGTGAAACATAATATATCCCCAATCACTACTACAGGTTGGCCTCTCAAATACAAGTTATATACATGGCTATTTACAGTGCTGAAAAGTTTCAATAAATATGTTCAATATATTCAAGTATTTAAGTGAGAGGCGATTTTATGATGTTGTACTGGATAAATTCATGTGACAAAAATGTACAGATGGTTATCAAGTCCACTCACACACACAAAAGGCACATTGGAAGAAACTACTGTTTTAAAACAAACACATTGGAATCATGAGTTAAAATACATAGAAGAAACAAGGAAATATCATATCCACTGCAGGTCAGGTGTGTGAAATCCACTTGGTATGGGCATAGATACATATATATTACACAACAAAGTTTGTCCTATTCATTTTAATTTCTGACAATATGATCATTATGTGCATAGATTTATACATACTCCCTTTTGGTTTCACTTCTCCAAACACCTGCTCCCGTATCACCTTCCATCGGTATAGCATGCATCCATAACAACAAACAGCTTTCACTCACTCTAAAACTCAACCTCATAACATATGTTCTGAATGTAAAAATAGGGACATGTCTGATATCTTGATACCTCTCTCTGTCATTCTGAACAGAGTCAGCCTTTAAGGACATAAGGACATTACAAAAAAGTAAATTTCTAGATTATCTTTGGAATATCTCCTACAGAAATAATGTATCTCGTCTACAAAATATGTACAATTCTTAATTGTTCAGCAATATTCAATTACACATTTCAGGGTTGATTCAAGTGCACCTTATCAACACCATTCACTTTTATAAAGATGAAAATCAATTCCGAAAATTCACTTAAAATGCAGCATGCGTGTTGCTGTATGCAATAGAAATGACATAATCAAAGCAATCTCTACCAATAGCAGAGTTCAACCTTCAAACTACAAATTACAGCATCATTCATTATATATACAGGGTTTATGATGAAGTCTTCTCACTGCTTTATTAGCAGGATTTGTTTTGTCCAAGTGGCTATGTGAAACATAATATATCCCCAATCACTACTACAGGTTGGCCTCTCAAATACAAGTTATATACATGGCTATTTACAGTGCTGAAAAGTTTCAATAAATATGTTCAATATATTCAAGTATTTAAGTGAGAGGCGATTTTATGATGTTGTACTGGATAAATTCATGTGACAAAAATGTACAGATGGTTATCAAGTCCACTCACACACACAAAAGGCACATTGGAAGAAACTACTGTTTTAAAACAAACACATTGGAATCATGAGTTAAAATACATAGAAGAAACAAGGAAATATCATATCCACTGCAGGTCAGGTGTGTGAAATCCACTTGGTATGGGCATAGATACATATATATTATACAACAAAGTTTGTCCTATTCATTTTAATTTCTGACAATATGATCATTATGTGCATAGATTTATACATACTCCCTTTTGGTTTCACTTCTCCAAACACCTGCTCCCGTATCACCTTCCATCGGTATAGCATGCATCCATAACAACAAACAGCTTTCACTCACTCTAAAACTCAACCTCATAACATATGTTCTGAATGTAAAAATAGGGACATGTCTGATATCTTGATACCTCTCTCTGTCATTCTGAACAGAGTCAGCCTTTAAGGACATAAGGACATTACAAAAAAGTAAATTTCTAGATTATTTTTTTTCCTGCCTAGGTTTATGTCCATATTAAGCTCAATTCACATAACAGAAAGTGTGGCTAATATCTCCTACAGAAATAAACTATCTCGTCTACAAAATATGTACAATTCTTAATATTTCAGCAATATTCAATTACACATTTCAGGGTTGATTCAAGTGCACCTTATCAACACCATTCACTTTTATAAAGATGAAAATCAATTCCGAAAATTCACTTAAAATGCAGCATGCGTGTTGCTGTATGCAATAGAAATGACATAATCAAAGCAATCTCTACCAATAGCAGAGTTCAACCTTCAAACTACAAATTACAGCATCATTCATTATATATACAGGGTTTATGATGAAGTCTTCTCACTGCTTTATTAGCAGGATTTGTTTTGTCCAAGTGGCTATGTGAAACATAATATATCCCCAATCACTACTACAGGTTGGCCTCTCAAATACAAGTTATATACATGGCTATTTACAGTGCTGAAAAGTTTCAATAAATATGTTCAATATATTCAAGTATTTAAGTGAGAGGCGATTTTATGATGTTGTACTGGATAAATTCATGTGACAAAAATGTACAGATGGTTATCAAGTCCACTCACACACACAAAAGGCACATTGGAAGAAACTACTGTTTTAAAACAAACACATTGGAATCATGAGTTAAAATACATAGAAGAAACAAGGAAATATCATATCCACTGCAGGTCAGGTGTGTGAAATCCACTTGGTATGGGCATAGATACATATATATTATACAACAAAGTTTGTCCTATTCATTTTAATTTCTGACAATATGATCATTATGTGCATAGATTTATACATACTCCCTTTTGGTTTCACTTCTCCAAACACCTGCTCCCGTATCACCTTCCATCGGTATAGCATGCATCCATAACAACAAACAGCTTTCACTCACTCTAAAACTCAACCTCATAACATATGTTCTGAATGTAAAAATAGGGACATGTCTGATATCTTGATACCTCTCTCTGTCATTCTGAACAGAGTCAGCCTTTAAGGACATAAGGACATTACAAAAAAGTAAATTTCTAGATTATTTTTTTTCCTGCCTAGGTTTATGTCCATATTAAGCTCAATTCACATAACAGAAAGTGTGGCTAATATCTCCTACAGAAATAAACTATCTCGTCTACAAAATATGTACAATTCTTAATTGTTCAGCAATATTCAATTACACGTTTCAGGGTTGATTCAAGTGCACCTTATCAACACCATTCACTTTTATAAAGATGAAAATCAATTCCGAAAATTCACTTAAAATGCAGCATGCGTGTTGCTGTATGCAATAGAAGTGACATAATCAAAGCAATCTCTACCAATAGCAGAGTTCAACCTTCAAACTACAAATTACAGCATCATTCATTATATATACAGGGTTTATGATGAAGTCTTCTCACTGCTTTATTAGCAGGATTTGTTTTGTCCAAATGGCTATGTGAAACATAATATATCCCCAATCACTACTACAAGTTGGCCTCTCAAATACAAATTATATACATGGCTATTTACAGTGCTGAAAAGTTTCAATAAATATGTTCAATATATTCAAGTATTTAAGTGAGAGGCGATTTTATGATGTTGTACTGGATAAATTCATGTGACAAAAATGTACAGATGGTTATCAAGTCCACTCACACACAAAAAAGGCACATTGGAAGAAATTACTGTTTTAAAACAAACACATTGAAATCATGAGTTAAAATACATAGAAGAAACAAGGAAATATCATATCCACTGCAGGTCAGGCGTGTGAAATCCACTTGGTATGGGCATAGATACATATATATTATACAACAAAGTTTGTCATTTTCATTTCTGACAATTTGATCATTATATACATAAATTTATGCATACTTGCTTCAGGTTCACTTCAGGCTTAACAACATATTACCAGTTCATTTCACTGTAAATATAAGTCTATTTTTCAGTAGCCATTCATCAGAATTTGAACAAAAATATAATACTCTGGCATCCTCACCAATGCAACAAAATACAGGGTTTGTAGCACTCATAATACATTACAGTACTTTCATACTAATTGGAGAGATTTAAGGGCAGTAGGGACAGTGTCCAAAATGCCCAGCATTCCCATGTTAACAAGGCCTACACACTTTCATTCTATACACTTCTCCAAACACCTGCTCCCGTATCACTTTCCATCGGTATAGCGTGCATCCATAACAACAAACAGCTTTCACTCACTCTAAAACTCAACCCCATAACATATCTTGTGAATGTAAAAATAAGGACATGTCTGATATCTTGATACCTCTCTCTGTCATTCTGAACAGAGTCAGCCTTTAAGGACATAAGGACATTACAAAAAAGTAAATTTCTAGATTATTTTTTTCCTGCCTAGGTTTATGTCCACATTAAGCTCAATTCACATAACAGAAAGTGTGGCTAATATCTCCTACAGAAATAATGTATCTCATCTACAAAATATGTACAATTCTTAATTGTTCAGCAATATTCAATTACACATTTCAGGGTTGATTCAAGTGCACCTTATCAACACCATTCACTTTTATAAAGATGAAAATCAATTCCGAAAATTCACTTAAAATGCAGCATGCGTGTTGCTGTATGCAATTTGATGTGACATAATCAAATCAATCTCTACCAATAGCAGAGTTCAACCTTCAAACTACAAATTACAGCATCATTCATTAAATATACAGGGTTATGATGAAGTCTTCTCACTGCTTTATTAGCAGGATTTGTTTTGTCCAAATGGCTATGTGAAACAGAATATATCCCCAATCACTACTACAAGTTGGCCTCTCAAATACAAGTTATATACATGGCTATTTACAGTGCTGAAAAGTTTCAATAAATATGTTCAATATATTCAAGTATTTAAGTGAGAGGCGATTTTATGATGTTGTACTGGGTAAATTCATGTGACAAAAATGTACAGATGGTTATCAAGTCCACTCACACACAAAAAAGGCACATTGGAAGAAATTACTGTTTTAAAACAAACACATTGAAATCATGAGTTAAAATACATAGAAGAAACAAGGAAATATCATATCCACTTCAGGTCAGGTGTGTGAAATCCACTTGGTATGGGCATAGATACATATACATTGTACTACTGCTCCCGTATCACCTTCCATCGGTATAGCATGCATCCATAACAACAGACAGCTTTCACTCACTCTAAAACTCAACCCCATAACATATCTTGTGAATGTAAATATAAGGACATGTCTGATATCTTGATACCTCTCTCTGTCATTCTGAACAGAGTCAGCCTTTAAGGACATAAGGACATTACAAAAAAGTAAATTTCTAGATTATTTTTTTCCTGCCTAGGTTTATGTCCATATTAAGCTCAATTCACATAACAGAAAGTGTGGCTAATATCTCCTACAGAAATAATATATCTCATCTACAAAATATGTACAATTCTTAATCGTTCAGCAATATTCAATTACACATTTCAGGGTTGATTCAAGTGCACCTTATCAACACCATTCACTTTTATAAAGATGAAAATCAATTCCGAAAATCCACTTAAAATGCAGCATGCGTGTCGCTGTATGCAATAGAAGTGACATAATCAAATCAATCTCTACCAATAGCAGAGTTCAACCTTCAAACTACAAAATACAGCATCATTCATTATATATACAGGGTTATGATGAAGTCTTCTCACTGCTTTATTAGCAGGATTTGTTTTGTCCAAATTGCTATGTGAAACAGAATATATCCCCAATCACTACTACAAGTTGGCCTCTCAAATACAAGTTATATACATGGCTATTTACAGTGCTGAAAAGTTTCAATAAATATGTTCAATATATTCAAGTATTTAAGTGAGAGGCGATTTTATGATGTTGTACGAAAATGTACAGATGGTTATCAAGTCCACTCACACACAAAAAAAGCACATTGGAAGAAACTACTGTTTAAAACAAACACATTGAAATCATGAGTTAAAATACATAGAAGAAACAAGGAAATATCATATCCACCGCAGGGCAGGTGTGTGAAATCCACTTGGTATGGGCATAGATACATATACATTGTTCTACAATGTTCGTCCTATTCATTTTAATTTCTGACAATATGATCATTATGTGCATAGATTTATACATACTTGCTTTAGGTTTGAGCCAGAAACACATAAATGGACTCTTTCAAATACAGCTTATTTAAGGCCATGATAAAATCATGTATGTTCACATTAGACACACAAACAAACATCTTCCATACATAATTTGTCATGTATCACTGTAAACCTATTATCAAATGTCATTCAGGTCTAGGGTGTATTCGGTCAATGTTCATGATGTCCTTAATGCTTTAAACATATGTCTTCCCTTTTTCAACCAATGAGCTCACCCGCTCTCTGGAGAACACGTTCCGATATATCACAAGCCTCCCTTGCATTTGTATGGGAAAATGTCTCTGCTGGTATGTAAGGGAACTTCAGTTTCTTTGGGTACTGTGCATGGCTGGTATTCTGTACAATGCTCAGCAGTTTGTAAACCATGTCTCGCATGCTCTTGTCCTTCAGTTTGTACACCACCAAGGAGAGATCATGTGTCCTCTGCTCATCTCCTTCCTTTGCGTCTCTGTAGTACAGAAGGGCCTTGACTGCCTTATCACACGCCTGAAACACACACCTATTGTTTAACTGTGTGTATGAATGATGTATTGTAGAAACCAGAATAGCAGACATAGTTATCACGTTCTTTCTTGGTACCTTGGTACAGTGTCTCGACATAATTAAAGATGTATCATTGATGGTCATCTATGATATGGTGCACACTAACATATACTCATATTAAGTAATAATAGGTTAGCTCAAGTTTTCTATTTTCATTTTGAGGATGGGCTAAGTAAATATCAAACTTAAATTTAATCTCTGCTTGAGGTTTTAAGTGACATTTAGCTGTCAACAACACAGAAAGTCCACATGTACATCTTAAATGATGTGTAGCACATGACGCTTATCCCATCATTTCACGTAGACGTAGTGACCAAACCCATCACAATGCATTATACACCCATAAGTTGATATCTCTACAGCATCTCAGTTATGAAAGATCGTATATGTTCAAGATAAAGATGTAAAAAGAAAGGTTCACTGAGATTACATAAGCAATGAGACCTACCATGTAGCACTGGAAGCAGCTCCAGTTGTAGGCAGATAATGTATGCATGGTCTCTCTTGCCACTCTCAGATCCTCCCGTGCTTGTCTCATCCACCTCCTGGCCTCTTCAGGCTGAGGATTAGGTTTCTCTCTATGATGAGCCCTGAATGATGACCCGCCTGACCGGGAGTGAAAGCCATGAGAGAAGGAGTCGCCGTCATCATCCCAGAAATGTTCATAGTCATGCCGATGACGTTTGCTCCGGCGGTTCATTTCTTCATAAAACCAGTTGGATCTCTCTGTTCTTGGCTTTGCATTAGTATGTCCTGGGACTTGATCTATATTTTGACCCTTCTCCAACATTTCAATATAATTCTGTATCCGCTGAAATACTTTGGTACAAAACTCTTCATTACCTTGATTCTTGTCTGGATGCCATTTAAACAACAAACGTTTCTTTACTTTCTCTCTTTGCTTAGTGTCTGGCATTTGCCATGCCACCTTCAATGTTTCACGTATTTCTTTCAGCACACTGTCCATATCAAGAGGCTTGTCTTCAGATGGTGTTGCCTGTTGCTCTTTTCGTGGGACTTCTCCTGTCTCAGTCTCAGGTCCAGGTGTATTTCCCTCATCATGCTGTGACCTATTAGAGAGCACAATCTCTCTACACTGAGATCGTTTCTGACGCTGAAACTTGAAAAGATCCAAGGCAGATACTTCTTGTATCCCCTCTTCTCCTACGTCAACGGCATATCTATCAAGAATTGGCAAAGTTTCACTTGTCAGGATTTGTTTCACCTTGGCATAGATATAAACTGGACCTGAGTCTGGATTTGGCAAGTCTGATCCTTCTTGCCCTATTCTATCATCTGTGAGTGGGTCATATATTTCCATTCCAACATATTCCTCCACATCAAACCTAGTAAAGCTATTATCAAGCATCCAGTGGAACTCCTCTGGAATCCTTGTTCCGGGTGGTGGAAATACAGAGTCTTTTATATAGCTGCATATGTAACTTGTGGGCTGGACACTCATTCCATCTAGATAGGCTTGAATCTTTCCTGGATCACATGCAAGCATATCAACCAGTGAATATAGGCCACTTGTGATGTATCCCCCTGTTAGCTTGTTAATTGCTGTGGCCAGTTTACTATGAAGAAGCACTTGATTCAGTTTTCTGGTGTTGATGTAAACAGTTACTTTGTTTTCGTCTTCATAATCAAGAAAACATGATTGCTCTCTGTCACTCCCTTCAACTACCAGGCCACCATGAATCAATACAGTTTTCAGACCTGTGATTTGCTTAATGCTCATATTCGCTAATTTCATCTCAATGTTTTTCAGTTCTGTTTCTGTAAGCTTTTCTACTCTCCCCAAACGCCGGCTATCGTTTATAAGTCTTATGAGGCCAATCACAAACTCTGGATTTGTGATTTTTTGACTGTATTCACTCGAGACTGAACCTTCAGTGGCTTTGTTATGACTGGTTTCACACATGACCTCATTTGTCATCTGATCAAGAATCTTAGGTCTATATATTTCTGGCAACTGTTCAAATACATCAACTTCATTTGTTTTAGAAATCTCCAATCTTTTGAAACCAACAAAGTATCTGAAATTCAAAGTCTTTACTCTGTTCTCCAGTGATTCATTATCAGCAATGACCAAACTTGTTGACTTGGACAGTTTGCCGTCTCTGTCCAAGAGGAATAAGTATTGAACTGTTAGAGCGATGTTGTTATCCTTTTCTTCCTTCTGTAAACACTTGAAGAGCATGTCTGTTGCCTTCTGGACGATCTTAAGTTCATTTGGTTCCAGTTTACCATCCGCAGTTGTCTGTGCAAGAACCTGTAGAACCTCAGCATAGTGATTAGTTGTCACTTCTGGTGCTGCACCAAGCAGGGAAAACAGCTTGAAGTATGGACCAAACTCCACTGGCGCTTTATATATACCTTGCATTGTGTCTGTCCCTGATACTTCTAGCACAACTTGTGATGGCCGTACAAATAATCCTTCTTGAGGTAAAAATACAACAAAAGCAGCCTTTAGTTGTTTCTTCAATTTCTCAGTCAAATTTGAAGTGTTATCTTGAAGAAACGTGTAAATTGATTTGAGAACCATAGTCAGTATGACCACGAGATCAGAACCCCTATGTGGACGTGTTTGTTGTCGTTGTTCAAGTGATGTACTTATATTCACTATATGCTGAACCACTGATTCAATGGAGGGTTCCTTCTTTATCCCGAGCAGCAATGCCATTTTCTCTCTGTCCTTTCGTGAATGTCCATTCTTGTAATAATCAGGATCTGCATAGTGGGGAAACATGGCACAACTTGTCCATATATAGTGACAGTGCTTTGAAGACACAGAATCACCATATGTTATCAGTTTCCCTTGTTGAAACTGGGGAAGGATTCGTTTTGTCATGTCTTTCTCATTTGATTCCTTCTCCATGTTGTAGGGCATCACGAATTTGATGTTCTTAACTCGTGAGAGAAGTAATCCTTTCATCAACCCTTCTTGTTTTTCAAACAAGTGCTTTGTGAGCAGCTTTGATTTGTGCTCCACATCTCTTGTGATAGGTGTGACATTCATGTCCTCTACTGATCTAGCAAACTTCTCAAAATCCTTTTCTGACACCTTTATTACAATTCCAGACTCTTTTAGGAAGGTTTCCCATTCTGGACTGTCATATGGTGGTGGTGGAAATTTGTCCTCTGAAAGGAATTCTGCAAATAGTGTCCCTCGTTTCAAGTAATATTCACAGGCCCTGTGCAACGATCCATCTTTGTCTTCAATGAAGTGTAACCGTTTAAGACACTGAATCAGGTTTTTTTGCACACTGCTGTAATTTGATAAAAATGATGTTTTCAACAAATGGTCTCTGACATACTGTAAATGAACAGCTTGAGTGGGTTTTGGGAGATGGCTGAATTTCTCAAGGATAATCTTTTCATATAATTCTTCAGGAGAAAGTATTTGAACCTTTAAAAACTCAAAAAGGTTTTTGTTGCTATCCGAACATTTCAGGAGGCACGTTTTGAGCCCAAGTGACCATGTCTCTATTCCATCTTGTGGAATATTGTCATGCTCAATGACAGCATAGACTCTAGCCATTTTCATGTGTTGGCAGGATCCAGATAAATCTTCATAAATGGGCAGAGATCTTAGTAGCTCTGTGGCCACTGGTATTTCAAGCGTCTGTAGATCCTTTAGATGGGTGCAAAAATATTGCTGCAATATTTTAGCTGAACCCTCCTTTATGCCAATAAGTTTGTGAGTGTGTTGTGCAAGTGCCTTGAGTGTAGAAGCTGGTCTTTGGAGATTTGCAACCAATGTCTTTGCTGATTTCACACATTCTTCATTATTGGAGGCAGTCTCACCAAAATCAAGCTGGGGTACACTTAGTTTAGAAAAGGCTGTTTTATAGGTCATGTTTGTCATGCCAAGAAGGTCTAAAATTTTGTCAGAGTCACAAATTGGAAATAAATAGATCACAGTTTGAAATTTCTCAGTTACTTTGGCAGGTAGGATGCACACTTGACTCAAAGAGGATAGGCTGGATTTGACACTATCTATATGAGGAGTCATTTTTGATGAAGCAACAATTTCCCTGTGAAGAAAATCCCAGATTTCAAGAATCCATTGAGGAGATGGTTTACCACTGCATTCCCATGGAATTGGGACAGTGCTGATTATATGACCCATTGTGTCTGACAGAAGAGTGCTCAGTGTTTGAATGTCAAGTTTCCTAAGTGTATCTGATTTATCTGTAAAACCAGAGTACAACTGTTCCATTGATCTATGCATTGCCATTCCTGGTGATCCTTTGATCAACTCCGTAAATACAGTGACAATTATTGGAAGCTGCGAAGTGAAACATCTCAGAATCGAATCTTGTGTCAGAAGAAGAGGTAGGCCATCTAATGAATCAAGAAAAGTTGAACTCTCTTTGCAGTACTTTGTCAAAACAGTCAAGGCATGGGTGTCCTTCAGAGGAGTTGACTTGATGTCTAAAGGGAGACTTGCAAGTTGACATCTATCCTCATTGCTGTTGGTGAATGACTTCAAAAATTCAATCACACTATCTGATGATATACAGGAAACCTCCAAGTCAGCCTCCTGAAACTGATGGTAGATGGACAGTGGCATATCTATTATCTTCATCCCCAAATCTTTGAGAATTTCCACAAGCTTTGGGACTTTAACATGCTGGGCTGTTGAATCAACCTTTTTTGCAGGAACTGGGATATTGTTAAAGTATCCTGGGAATCCAGTAGACGAGGCAACTGAAACCCAATCAAATTTGACAAGCCTTGTTTGATTTTGTGATCTTGAATTTTCAGAAAATTTGCCATCTAGTGGTTTGATAACAGGAAAAAGAGCTGTGTAATGCTGTACAATATGCCTATAAAAGCATGTGGCTAACAATTTCCAATAGTCATCTGAAGTGCCTGCTATCACAGGAAACAGGTTGATGAAGGGTTTAAGCAGTTCATGAGACCTAAAATAACCTGGATCTTGCTGGGCACCAAGCAGTTCTGGTCCTATCAGAGTTTCAAGACCTGATACATAAGCAGGAACAATGACTTGTTGGATGATGGCTTCATTCCAAAGTGTGCGGAAAGGATGTGGACCATGCCATAGGTTCCCTCTAGCTTCATGATCTAATGCAAAATGTCCGTTTATGTGCACGGGGAGTTTTGTGGTGATGCGGAGGGGTAACATACAAAATGCTTTTCCTTGCACTGTATTGTCATCCAGTGGTATTGCTACACCACCTCGTGGTAACATACCAATCTTGCCATCTCTTTGGCATTCTTTAAGAATTTCAGGAACTTTAGTGTTATCAGCAAAGCCACACTTATGAACAACCAGCCACCTTTCTTGTTTTCCTTCAAGGCTCTTCACTTTCAGTACTACCTTTGTCTGCTTAGTGACATCCTGCTCTTTATGTTTGACATAGGTTCGTAAACCTGATACATAGTTTTTTAGGCCAGCATGTTGTTCACTTATTTCCGCACTAACTGAAAAATCTTCAACAAGTCTCCCATCTTTCATCACTGAATGTATTGATATGTTCTTGATATTGTGAAGAAACAACAGAGACTCAGACATTTCATTTCTGAAATCCTTTAGCAGTTGTTCTATGCCCATTTTCCCTTCAATTGGAATTTCTTCATCAGATATATCAGACACCATTTCATTTGTTCTCAGTGGCAGACGGAACAGGGTCCCTGATTCTCCAAAGTCTATAACATCCGTAAGATAGCATTTGAATATGTCCTGAAATTTGCACTGCAGCTCAGCAGCAGGGAATCTACAACCAGGGGCTTCAGATGTTGCCCATGGAATGTACTTCAGATTAGGATCTAAGAAACATACTGTTTCTGGTGTCTCTGGGCCAACTGTGAAAAAAGATGGAACATCAGTTAAATGGTACACAGCATTAAAGCCTACACCATACTGTCCTGTCTTCAGGGCATCATCAGATTTGCTTCCAACGCCAAGAGATTGAATCCCCTCAAAGTCTTTCTCTGTAAAACTACTGTTGTTCCAAACACACAAAGCAGGGCCCTGTAAAGGTTTCCAATTATCGGAAAATACATTTTCAGTAGGATGGTTTCTGAAATCTTTGATGAATTTTAGCTCAGTAGCTCCTGCATCATCTGCATTTTGAAGAAGTTCCTTCATAATTGATGAATCCCTTGGATATCCTTCAAGGATTCCCTTCAGTCTCGTTGTCAGTTTCTCACGTTGGCCAAATGAAGTTGCTGACCACGGTAACAGTACTTTCTCAACACTGGCATGTATCAGTGTCTTGACTTTGAAATGTAGGGCTACTTCTTTTGATATGGAGGGATGAACAATTTGTATTCCCGAATCTTTCTTCAGGCGACTACAGTCGTCAAGACAAAGATCAGTTGCAGGCTTCAGGGAGTTTTCAGTGTCTGGTAAAAACATCTGCCATAATTCAGAGTTGACACAGTTTTCCTTCGCTGACAACTTGTATAATAAGTTAGCCATGTTGACATATAAAGTCACATCTTCCTTTCTCATTGGTATATCCTTGTATGTTTCAGCCGTCTTGTCAATTTGCTCTTTCACACAATCCACATCAAAGTGTTCCTTGATTCCAATAACCTGCAGGAAGTGCTTGTATATAAATCTTTGTGTTGGTTCAATTTGATACAGATATGGATGTAGGTCATACTCCAGATGAAATGCAACTTGCTGAGGAAACACTAGCATTTTATCATTAAGTATCACTTGCTTGCCTTTAAGCTTTGCTATAATGTCATGCTCTGGAGAGGTGCTGTCAACCTCCTTGCACAAAGCATCCAGGTGTTTATACAGGTTGTTTAAGATTTTGATTGATTCCTTACTCAGCTGAACTCCCCTGAGTATTTGTGTTGAAATGTGGAGCAATTGTTCACAAACAACTGTTGCAGTTACAGATTTTGTGTCTTGAACACCAAGCCAAATTAGAACTTCTTTTAAAGAAAATAATCCATCCAGTTTGTATGAGTCAAGCAGAAGGTTACAACATCCAACTAAATCAGCTTCTTCATGAAAGAACAACTGAACAGGTGTTGAGAATACTGAAACTGTATCACCTTTCCACTTGAAAGGCCAATCTCTGGCTTTCTGCAATACTGGGAGAAAGGCCATGGTGGATATTTGCTGTCTTGCATCCTCTCCACATTTATGGAATCGCCTCCCACGGGTGCTGCTGTCATACTCATTGATATATTGTAGAATGTTGAGACACCTCTTCTCGGCTCGAGTATTATCCTCGAGACTCAGGTCTTGTACTGTTTCTATCCTTCCTATTATTGCTTCCCACGGAAGATCATTTTCTACCATACCCAGGCAACATAACTGCTTCAGGATTTCATGCCTTTCAAATGCCTCACTTGGAAAAATCTCTTCAGATTCAGTAAATAGTTGGGAAACCTTTCCTCTTGGATGGACTAGCTCCTTGGGCTTTCTTAGTTTTCCATTTGGTTTTGAAGGAATGCATTCATACATCTTCAACAAAGCATCAATATTTGGAACGCATAGTTTGACAGCATACAATGTCAGTGACTGACGATCTGAAGAATTTACCAGTTCAATATTTGGTAAGAAAACCTCCTTGTAGAAATCTTCAGTACTGACAACACGACTGTTGAAGGTTTCTGTAAGACCAGCTGATATGAAATTTTGGTAAATTCTTTCAGGTAGGTCAATAACTGTATCCTTTTCCCAGAATCTTTGAAGTACCCCGACAGCAGTTTTTCCAATAAACTCATTGTATGCTAAAGATGGGGACAAAAATATGGAGTTCTTGAATGCTACATAATTCACTGGATCACCTTGCAGAAAGACTTTGTATTCCTCTTCAGTAATCACCTTATAGAAACTTGTCACAATGGCTGGTTTCTCAAGTGAATTTTTGACATCTACATCCTTGTTCAACATGACACCAGGCCACAAGTTGTAATAGGCCTCAACATCATTCTGAGTAAGATTCTCGAGTCCTGTCAGAGTGCAGATTATTGTTCGACTGATAACCTCAGTTTCTAAGTGTTTGTTCCAGGAACCAGGAATTGATGTTTTGTCGTCCTCTGTTTTTTCACACAGTCGCCTCCTGTCTTCTGTCAGCGCAAACTGTGCATTGATGTGCATGGCGAATTGTGTAGATGGGAGGGGCAAAGGAAGAAAGCAGTATAAGTGTCCGACACAGAAAAAGCTCTGACATTCACGAAGTGAGCTCATTTGAATTATGTCACCACTTGTGCTTAGTGGAACAGCAGTTGAAGCTAAAGGGAGTAGGCCTTTTATTGTGGCAAATTGTCCTGGAACTGTTTTTCCCATGGACCATGTTATCTGCCAGTTTGTATTGTCCTGATGGACTTTAATGCCAAAAGAGTTTGAAAATTCTGTGGTTGTTTTGACAGAAACATTCACCCTTTCTATTAAATAGTCTTCCCTTGAATCCATGTTGCACTGTTTTGAGAAGTGACTGAGGGTGTTAATTTGAGGATTGTGCGGTACTTTTGCCTGGTTAAACACAGAAAACTGATCATCTGTTTTCTTTTGGACTGAAAACAAAAGTTCACACTTGTCAACAGAGGCTCCATTTGGTAGGTAATATACTTCCATTAACTTTACATTTTGTGTGTACAATAATAGATTTCCAGCACCTTTGACCAAAATCTCCAGGAATGTTTTCATCTCTGATTTTGAGTAATGAAGATGTTTTATTTCACTTTTTTCTGCCTGTTCTGCTGTTCGCAGAGGAAATCGAAACAATGTCCCTTTGCAAATATCCCCCTTGGCTTTCTGTCCTATGTCACAGCCAAACACTCCATCAAATGGCTGAAATTGGCCTCGCATCGTCTGCAGCATTCTCTTATTTTTGACGGAGGATAGATCTGCTTTCAGTCCTGGTCTGCCCAGATAGGTCCGATGTGGATCAAATATAACTACAGTGTTTCCACTGATGAAGCTTGGGACATCTGTCAAGTTATACACAGAATTGAAACCAAGTCCAAAACGACCAAGCTTTGTTGCATCATCTTCTTTCGTAGCACCACCAAGATCCTGAATGTTTAGAAAATCATCCTCCGTAAATTGTGCATCATTGTATGACCACAAGGCAGGACCTTGAAGGGATTCCATTCCTTTATTCATCAAAGATGTTCTAGCACTACTATTGTGTCTCTCATCATAGAGGAACATCACTTTGGTTGCTTTGGCATCTTCTGCATTTTGTATTATCTCTTTTGGTACTGAAAATCCATCTGTATATCCTCTAAGGATCCCATTTAACCGTTTGGTTAATGACTCATGCTGGCCACAGTTAAGATCAAAGGCCTCTGTCCCCTCCATAACCCTCTCAGTCAAGAGAGATGCTCCAAAATACCTTGCTGTCTCTTCAGATATATCACTGTGTACAAAGTAGAGCTTCTCTTCCTCTTCACCATCTGTTGTCTGTTCCAGAAGCCATTCAGCATTGCAAAAGGTACAGTCTGCAGCAGATTTCAAAACAAGGGACTTGGAGTATTCATCTTGGTGAATTGGCAAACTAATTTCATTTGAATGGAATTTGTATGATTTCAACATGTTAATAATGTGAAAAATGATTTGGAGATCTTCTTGCATATCATCTGAATTATCCATTCTGGCTTGAAGGTGTTTATGCTGAATCTCCTTGAGAACAGAAACCAACATTTCAGGACTTTGTTGTTTCTGCCCACCTACAGCTTCTACAATGTCTGCAATACCAATCCAAAACTTTGGCAAACAAAATCTGTAAGGTTTGAGCTCAATGTCCTTCCGTTGTGATTTCATGGTCCAAATTTGACTGGCAAAATGAAATTCTGAATTGATCCAAATAAACTTCATTTTGCGAAGTCTTTCCTTGCATGCTTTTGTCATCAAGGAAACATTTTGCTTTGAAAGATACCTGTACAGGTCTTTCATTACTTCCATGTACTTGTGTTCTGTATCCTGTTGGGGCTGATATGATGCAATTGTTAGGTCCATATGCTCCAACACTTGATGAAGTGGTGGTTCAGATACCAATTGAAATGCACTGATGATTTCTTTTGGAAGATTTGCAACTGGGGAAACTGATCCTATAACATTCAGATGTTTCTCATTCCACACATTCCCAAGTCGTTCAAGCAAGCAGCTATTTTCTTCTCCAAACAACCTCAATGTGACTGGATAACCTGTTGTTCTCCTTACTAGACGTGGAACAAATCTTACTTGTAGTAGGCTTTTCAAAGAATTTTTATAAGGTTTTGCAAGACGTGCCTTCAGAAAAGCAAATAAAGCTTTGCCTTTCCTAGCAGCAACTTCAAACTCATTTGTCCCAAGAAGGCTTTCTATGACTGCACCAGTACGGCAAAGATGTTCATCTGTGACATCTGTCACTGTTTTTAGTCCAAGCATTTTCAGTCCCTGTAATAAAGATGAATCCATGAATTCAGCAGCAGGAAATTTATCTTCTCTTTCAAACAACTTGCAGAGTTCTGGCTGTGGCTCAAATAGATCACAAACCCTAAACTGCTCACTCATTTCATCTGTAGTAAGGAATTGTATTCTTTTAGCTAGCTTTAGTATGGCTTGATTTGTGAAGAAATGACATTCTTTCAGAAGGTGTAGCATAAATACTTTAACATCATTCCTGTTGTATTTATTGTCTCCATTTGCCATTAATATCAGAATGTTGAGTGTAACTTCATCTCGAGTCACTTGTCTTGCATCAAGTAGTTGAGATAGGGCAGCAGTAGTGGCTGGAATGCACCGTAAATAAACTTCTGGATAGGGCACAACCAGTTGGTCTGCTGGCTCCAGAAGATTAATCTGTTCAATGGTTGTATCCATGTCCAAGTTGTCTGTGTTTGCAAATAGTTCCAGCTTCTGCAGTACGTCTTTGGCTGAACTGCTCAGACATTTACATTCACAAAGAAACTCAGCCAAAGACCGTTTTTCCTCATCTTTTGCAATGTTGTTAAAATTAGATACCTTCTCCAAAAGTGTATCCTTCTGTGCAACATCTTCAAGGACACTGATGACACCTTCAAAGGATGGATATTTGATAACATCTCCTATAATGGAGGCGTTTCTCTTGAGAGCATCAGGTATCTTTGATAGCGGGATGATACCAAGGTGTTCCAAAGCCAAACCTAGTCTTTGATCCAAATCACCAACAGTCTTCACATTCATGCAAATGAAACTTGAAGATACAGGATAAAGAGGCATTGTTCCATCAGCAGTGGCTTCCCCAGGGATAAGTAAATCATCTGGAAATTTGTCTTTGACATCTATGTCATGTTTTGTGATGTACTGCCATACAGAGTCAAGCCATTCTGGACTAAATTGAGAATCAGATGTCACAGTTGCAACCCCTGAAGGAAACTGCACCTCCATGCACTCTTTAAGAAGACGTGCAAAGGGCTCAGATGACAATCTTTGAATGTTGAACATTCCTGAAAATTAAAGGAAACAAAAAGTGTACAACACAACACAACATTATGCACTTCCAGCCTTATGACATTACTTGAAGTCTGGGGAAACACATTCCTTCATCACTCTGTGGATATCAAATTCTAACCACTCCATGTGAAAGTTCTTTTCAAATATGTAAATGCCTAAATGAGAGAGAGAGGGAGAGAGAGAGAGGGGATATCAAATTCTAACCACTCCATGTGAAAGGTCTTATTAAATATGTAAATGCCTAAATGAGAGAGAGAAAGAGAGAGAGAGAGAGGGGGGGGGGGGGGGGGGGGGGATATCAAATTCTAACCACTCCATGTGAAAGGTCTTTTTAAATATGTAAATGCCTAAATGAGAGAGGGAGAGAGAGAGGGGGGATATCAAATTCTAACCACTCCATGTGAAATGTCTTTTTAAATATGTAAATGCCTAAATGAGAGAGAGAAAGAGAGAGAGAGAGGGGGGGGGGATATCAAATTCTAACCACTCCATGTGAAAGGTCTTATTAAATATGTAAATGCCTAAATGAGAGAGGGAGAGAGAGAGGGGGGATATCAAATTCTAACCACACCATGTGAAATGTCTTTTTAAATATGTAAATGCCTAAATGAGAGAGAGAAAGAGAGAGAGAGAGAGAGGGGGGGGGGGGTATCAAATTTTAACCACTCCATGTGAAAGGTCTTTTTAAATATGTAAATGCCTAAATGAGAGAGGGAGAGAGAGAGAGAATATCAAATTCTAACCACCCCATGTGAAAGGTCCTTTTAAATATGTAAATGCCTAAATGAGAGAGAGAGAGAATATCAAATTCTAACCACTCCATGTGAAAGGTCCTTTTAAATATGTAAATGCCTAAATGAGAGAGAGAGGGGGGGGTATCAAATTCTAACCACTCCATGTGAAAGGTCTTTTTAAATATGTAGAAATGTAAATGCCTGAGAGAGAGATAGAAAGAGAGAGAATATCAAATTCTGACCACCCCATGTGAAAGGTCTTTATAAATGTGTAAATGCTTAAATGAGAGAGAGAGAGAGAGAGAGAGAGAGAGAGAGAGAGAGAGAGAGAGAGAGAGAGAGAGAGAGAGAGAGAGAGAGAGAGAGAGAACCACCCCATGTGAAATGAAACATACATTCAACATTATTAAAGAGACCAACCTTTTTTTGCCATATCTTGAAGATAGTGTCCAGTAGTACTGTCACGAAGAACAAATCTATGTCTCAGGCCTGGAAACATGTTTATATCATCTTCATCCTCGCACACAAATACAGGGTCTGCTTCCCCAAATGTCGTGAAGGATCCATCTGCAAGAGGGAGAAGTCTCACCCCACGAAGACACTGAAAGCTGTCCTCTGCACATATGAACTCAAGCAGATGCAGCTTCTGTTGGTCTGTTATTCCTGGATAAAGGTTCTTGGACTGAAGGGTTTTTGAAAGTCCATCTGGTGTCACAAATTTCAGTTGATCTAGATCTGGGTAGTAGGATTGCAATGCCTCATGCAAATGAGGTGGGACTACAACAATGTTTTCCTGACTCATTTTGTAGGTAACAACAACTGTTTCTTGGATTTCAGACGACACTTTCGAAGGTACAAAGAGGATTCCATTTTCAGCATTTATCCACTTGCCTCCATCATTTGGGGTGTAGAGGCTTCGTTCTCTGAACATTAACTTGTAAAATGCTTCACAAAGTCCTTTCCAGTTTTCACGTATTTGTGATTTATCAGGCAGCGCACGGTATATCTTCTCTACACAAGTCTCATCTCTTCCTTCCTTTTGCCAATACATGATCAACTCTTGTATGAGACTGACATATGTTTGAGGGAACACCTCGAGGAGTAAACACTGGTTCCATCGTATCGCTTTATCCATCTGGGATTTGTTCTTCGTTTGATCTGCTGTTGGCCACTTGATATGTCTACGGTTCTGACTCAGTGCAAAATGACCATGGACGTGAATAGGTAGGCCTGTGGGACTCTGCGCCTCAAGTGGCAAGGGCAGAAAACAAAATATATGCCCGGTTTGCTCCTGTTCAAGGGCGAAAGCTAAGCCAACACACGGGCATGATGCAATGGTTTTGTCAAAGCACAGTTTCTTGAATGATTTTGAAATTTTTCCATCTTGAAAGTGCTGAATCACGAGCCATATGCTGTTGTTACAGTTCTGGTGTGTTGACATAAAGTCACATGTTTCTACTTTCATGTAGTATATCTTCTCAATTGGCGATTTTGGTAACCCTCCCTTTAGTTCCTTTATGGATTCTACAAATTCTTTTCTAATATTTACAGTGTCTCCTACATAGCTACTCGTGTCAACAGTGAAAAGAGTCTCACAACTGTTTTCTGGAACTTGCTTTCCAAAGAGACTTGCACCTTTCTGACAAACCTGAATCCTTGACAATGACTTCAGGAAGAGCAGCATATGAGGGGCCTCAGCTTGGAATGCACTGAAGAGATCTTGTATTTTATTATCATCATAAATAATGTCTGACAATTCTGTCACTTCTCCTCGGAGGGGAAACCAAAATAGAGTGCCTTTGAAGAATCCATCCTTGAGTGTTTGGGCTGAAAACCCAAATATACCATCCAGAACTCGAAGCAACAAATCTTTGGAAAATTCAATCCTGTCCAGTCTGCTCATATAGCACACCATCTTTGGGTCATCTTCCCACATGTACGGATCTAGTAAAAGGATGTTGTGACCAGATACGATCAAAGGCACATCTGAAACAAAATAAAGATACTGATGTAAGTGAGCGCATAAACACTATAGATGTAGTCAGCTACATTCCAACTATATCATATTTTGCCTGTGAGTTGTGTCTAGGAAAGCCAGTTTGTTTGTTTGTTGTTTAACACCACACGGAGCATTATTCCAGCTATATGATGGCCGTATATAAATAATCGAGTCTGGACCAAACAATCCAGTGATTGACATCATGAGCATCGATCCATGCAATTGGGATACATGCATAAACCATGTCAGAGAGGTAGTTGCTCTTATGACAAGCTAAGTCACCTTTTTAGGGCAAGCATAGGTTGCTAAGACCTATTCCAGAGGCAAGCCAGTGCCCAAAAGCATGGGAAAAATCCACGCTTTCAAAGCAGAATGACACACATTCAGATAAGTCCACCCAATCATCTCAAATAACATGCTTAGATGCAGGTTACTGGTTGCAGGGACAAATCCTACCTCTAATACCCTCTAATGTGTTCAATGTTATGTAACATTACATCCCCTTCCAGCCAAAGGTGATGCACATGGAATCCAGTCGTCATTGTAAGGCATTGTAATTCAGCATGTCGTAAACCCATGATCCCATGATCGTGCTCGTGGGTTTCACCACAGTTGTTAATGTCTAACACCTGCAGCACTTCGGGTTCCAAAGTGAACCTGACATGATGGACGTAATTTAATTTAATAGAAATACTGTGGAATTTGGCGTCAAGCCAAACCCACCCACTCTAACATGAAACCTGAATGGATAGGCAACCATGCTTGGACAAAAGGATAGGTGAAACTGACATCCACAAGACAAAATATGTTTGTACCTGTCAGATGAAAGACTGACTTGAATCCCAGTCCAAAGCGACCAACTTTAAGAGGCTCCTGTTCCTTGATACTACTCTGTAGCATCCTTATGCCATCCCAGTCTTCATCAGTGAATACACCATCATTGTACACACATAAGCCAGGACCCTAAAAGTACACCACATACAAGCTTATACAAAGATGATTTTATCTGTAATGACAATAATGAAGTAATCCTTTCAAAACATTCTACCACAAAATGACTCCATAATGTTTTATCTGACATCAACATTTATAAAAATTTATAAATTTATAAAAAAAATACCTCTCGTGAATGGCATGTGTTTTAGTCTAAACATAACATAAAAATATTACCAGCTGCAAAGCATACGGTTGCTTTTCTTATCAACAGTCCTGATACTGAACAGTGTGACCGACTCAGTTGGCAAATGATCACAGCTCACGTGTACATGCTAACTAACATGGTGGTCAGTCTAACTTCGTAAAGAGGTATAAATGTATATCATGTGACATCAGTGAATGACATAATCACAGATAGCTCCTTAATTCATGTAAGACTGTGCTGAACCAGAATTGCTTGCAATAACTTTGTCTCTACCCATGAGGGCTGTAACGCCAGCACATGGCACGTAAATTCATTACTGGAGGACTAGACGCAGGCATATTGGCAGTCCAAGAAATTTTATTCTATTCACTTTTCTTAGTCGGTTAAACTGTAAGATGAATATCATTCATGATTACTGTAATTCTACATTATTGGAGAAAGTCTCACTTTGACACAAGTAACTTAATACACCCACACTAACTTACATTAAGAAATTGGCACTATGTTGCCGATCAAAGTCAGTTACCGTATTCGACGTAATAAGCACCCCGCTCAAATAAGCGCCCACGACGATATTTGCTGATATATTAGCTAGTGAACAATCCCAATTAGCACCCCTTCCGATTGATCAATGTACACAAGACTTATTTATTCGCGTATAATACACACTCGAGTGTTATATGCACCCTTAATTATGGGCAATTAAATTCTGGAAAAATATATCTGTCGTACATAAACATTTCAGTCTGTCACCATAAACCACGAAATTCATTTTTCAACTCTGGTTTTTTTCACCAAAATAATATTCTAATAAGAGCCCCCTATTTCTAATTTTGAGAGCACCTAGGCGCTTATTACGTCGAATACGGTAATCATGAAAATATTGTTTACACCTGTTATAAATTCACCTCAATCATACACTTACATGCCCTCACAAAACACCAGTAACGAAAGGTGGGAAATGCTCCAGACAGTTATATGCGCTACAATGGAAGAATAACTTCAGTAGACAGTTACATATTTCTTTCCTCGATCAATATCAATAGATCCCTTTGGGGTGAGACTACATGTATATAAACCTTGAGGGTCCGAAGATGTGGGAAGCCATCAACTGACGGGGGACTGAAGGGACGCCCATCATACAGAATCTTCACTTCCGTGGCATCCGCATCCTCGGCATTCTGTATCAGTTCCTGTAAATAAAAGCAATAAAACCCTTTCCATGCGCATAAGAAGTCTCTGCTAAAAGCAGATTTGTTGTACGATTCAGACTATACCATGAGCATGTGTTTATGAATCACTACTAAACACTGAACACCAGGTGTTCGCGAGCGTATCCTGCCCCACCGGTGGCACCCGTCACAAACAGCCTGCTCGAGTGTACCTCAAAACATGCAGGGGGGCCAGACTCTATATATAAATAGTAAAGGGTGTATCTATGAATGGGGAACCCCCTTATATTTTACCTTAAGGATCTGTCCATCATCAGGGTATTGGTCCAGGACCACTTTTAGTTGTTTGATGAGGGAGGGGAGTTTCATGCTGGAGAACCCCTCCCTCGGGAGTCCGCCGGGGGCACCTGTCAAGCACAGAGAACATGGTGTGAGGGGCATCAAGGGACATATAGTAGTCTAGTAAGATCAGCTGCAAAAAAAATGATTGTAATCGTTATTATCAAATAAATAATTTTCAAATATGTCTCAAGTTGCTTAAGTGTGATGAATGAATTGAGTAAAATAACACTAAAGTCCACTTTGGCCCCAAGCACATTTGCAGAAAGGTTCGAATCTGATTTTCAAAATGGCTGCCACTGTAGCCATATTGAAAAATCTATCTTTTTTTACAAAATGTCCTGAAATTTGGTATATGTATAGTTAGAAATTGATTTGTTGCTCAACAGACCAAGATTCGACCTTTGCACTTCAACCATACTGAAAGTTGAAACTTTTTATGTCCATTACTCAACCCTTTTCTTCTAAAAAGTATTGAAATTTGGTATATATGTAGTGAGTAGTGGGCTATGACATATCTGTTCCGTTTTTCGTGATCTGTTCCGTTTAATTTTGTCCTATATTTGATCTTTGCACTTTGACCATGCTCTTTATTCCCCGAAAATGCATTTTCTAGCACTGTAAACATCATCTCCTTAGACACCTGTGGATCAATGAAACTCAAACTACACCTGCTCTTTCCCGCCAATGATGACTGCTACATTTGTCCAAGAGTTTTGAATCCAGTTTTCAATATGGATGCGTCAAATTTGGAAATGTCATCCACAAGTTCACCCAAAAAACTTTTTGAAAGCTCACCTAAAGCCTTGAATGATGTAACCCTGATCAAACAACAATTGAGCAAGAGTCCTATTTCTGGAAAATTGAAGTCATCCCTCTTGTCATATGTGACAGACTCTTGTGGTCAGGGAGGTTTGTTTGGGTGTCAGTATTCTATTTGAATTCCTTAGAAGTTGACGGATGACGGTAGGCACAGTTTATGGATAACAACTTCCTTATTTACTTAAGGGGAACGTTTCGGTACAGAACCTAATTATGTTGTCAAGCTAGGCTGAATAATGTGCATGGTACAGAATATATATAGTAGACTATGGTAACTGTTATATGTAATCTGTACCATCGCCTACACAGTGAATAAATAAGTTGTTATCAATACATTGTGTCTACTTTGTAGTATTTTATTTGAGCTATGGTGTCCCAAATACACTGTGTATAATTACACTGTAATAAAATTGAAATTTGAATTTTATTCTATAATATGGAGGAAGAAGGCGATAATTTAAGTTTAGTGATGAACTGTACATCTCAATGTACATCAACAACAACCTTAAGTTGTCATGAGTCAGATTTACCTTTCCCCCTTTGTCTCTCCGGGGGCACGTTGTGCAGAGTTGCGTCCCTTGGACATGCCAGAAACCTATGATTGTGGGTTCGAATCCCAATTATGTTTCAAGGTTTGTCAGCACCATACCCGTGCTCGTGGGTTTCACCGAAGTGGTTAACGTCTGAGACCTGCATCACTTTGGGCTTTCCTCCCACATTTAAACTGACACGCCGTGATATAACTGGAATACTGTTGAAAGGGGCGTTTAACCCAACTCACTCACTCTTTGTCTCTCCCCAACCCAAACAACCTCACCTCCACCCACGCTTGAGCTACATGTCTATTGTCGAAAGTGTTATGTCACTCTTAATCTTTATACAATAGATCCCTCCGATGGATTGAGCTCACTGTACTCTTTCATTTCAAGCTCAGGTGGGTCCTTTTGACTTACTCATATCCCGTTTTGGAGAGCTAGTTCCGTACCACTGTCAGACGTTATCTGAAGCAAAGAAAAACATGTTGTGTACAAATATAACAATCCAAATGCTCTTTGTTTTCATCAATTTGGTAAAGGTATGGACTTAAATGGAATTAGATAGGTACCGGGTGAATGATAAAATGGATGAGTGAATGAGAAAAAGTAGGAAAAGAGAAGGAAAATGTTAATCTTGTCATAGCGACTGATTTACGACTTCCATTGACTGAAGTACATTTGACTCCAAAGGCAAATTACCCTGTAACCATGTCTCCATAACTTAATTGTCATTACGTTTTAGACGCTAATCCCCGTTGTTAATCCTCACCAACATTTCATTGTATATTGACTGACAGCCAACCTGGGCTGCTATATCACTTCCCGTTCATTAGTGTTATTTATAGTATGGCATTTATAGCCTTAATTGTTCATCCCCTAAGCTGTGTCATCCCCAGAAGTCATTGTCTTTCCATTGTTGTTCAGTACTATATATGTGCTACCATTACACACGCCACATAGCAAAAAGATGGCAAACCCAATGGGACGCAAGTAAGATCGGCAGATGGCTATACAAAATTCAACCCAAGGTCCAACAAAAGCCAAGCTCATACTCAAATGAAAGGAAAATTGAAACTGCTATCTCACGCCTCAGACATGGTCACAAAAAGCACTATGTCAAGGTTTGTTCATCTTGCAATCAGGCTGAAACCATTGACCACGTGTTACTAGAATGTCAAGACCATGCCCCAGCCCGGGCTAGGTTAAAACAAGAATTGCAGTTAGATCCGCTATCTGTCATAGATCTCCTAAAGCCAAGAGATGCAATAGCAAAGGCCAAACTAACTCTATTTCTGAGAGATGGACAGCTGCTCGAACGTATATAAACAGAGCAGCCAAGGATAAAAATGAAATCATATCAATATAAGAAAATAGAAATCATATCAATGCAAAAACAGAAATTATGTGAACACCGAACTCACAATAGATATGTGAACCCTTCTCACACACAGGAGTCCCAAAGAGGGACAGGTCAGCCGAAATTGCCTAGGCAGAAGGCGACCTCTTAAACACCTAATGCAACAACAACAACAACACACGCCACAAGGCAGCATTATAAGCCCAACCCTGTTAATGATCTTTTTGACCATGTCAACTTTCCTACCCAAACTTCTAAGTTCGCTGATGACGGAGCAATATGGGTAAAGCACAGAGATATTTCACAAATCAGAAAAACACTCCAGTCAGCCCTGGACGGAGTAGATCAATGGTGCAATAAATGGGGATTCACCATTTCAAGTGAAAAAACTGTTGGAGTTCTATTCAAACGCCGGGGGGAAAGATGCTATGATACCCCGTGTCTCCATAAAAGGCAAACCTATCAAATTCGAAAAATCTGCAATATTTCTTGGGGTGATCCTTGCTCAACACCTCACTTGTCGCAAGCATAGAGAATATGTCGAAAACAGATGTCAAAAAGACCTGAACGTATTACGGGCAATTTCAGGCACATCTTGGGGCACATCGAGGGACACTTAGCTGGACCTCTACAAAGCTCTTATCAGATCAAATTTGACTATGGTTGTGAGGCTTTTCATTCAGCATCAAAAACTGTCTTGAGGCGCCTAGACAGAATACAATACAAAACCCTAATGCGAAAAATAAAAGACTAAAAGAGAAAACTCAACCCTACTACGATCAGTAGCTATCACTAAAATTCAAACTACCTGGGACAGCTGGGCCCATATATACACTGATGGATCTAAGAATACTATCAACAACAGTGTTGGTTACGGGATCCATATCACATTCAGTTCGCTTGCCTGATGGTCAGTCAGTATTCACGGCTGAATTGGAGCCAATTCATCATGCACTCAAACTCATACCGGAACTCCCGGAAGCAAAGGCAATCGTCCTATCAGACTCGCTAAGTGCACTTCAGGCCATCAGTGGCAGAAACTCAAACTCCAGGCCAAACAGTCAACAATATTCTGTACGAATATACAAAACTATCGGACCAAGGGCAACAAGTGGAGCTGTGTTGGATCCCCTCTCACATAGATATTCATGGAAATGAAAAAGCAGACTCACTGGCTAAGCTAGCTCTAGACAAAGCGGATATACAGCCTATTCCCTTTAGTAAACTAGAGATAAAAAGCAAAATCAAAGCCTCCATAGCAGAAAGATGGCAAGCCGAATGGGACGCAAGTAAGATCGGCAGATGGCTATACAAAATTCAACCCAAGGTCCAACAAAAGCCAAACTCATACTCAAATGAAATGAAAATTGAAATTGCTATCTCACGCCTCAGACTTGGTCACAGAAAGCACTATGACAAGGTTTGTTCATCTTGCAATCAGGCTGAAACCATTGACCACGTGTTACTAGAATGTCAAGACCATGCCCCAGCCCGGGCTAGGTTAAAACAAGAATTGCAGTTAGATCTGCTATCTGACATTGATCTCCTAAAGCCAAGAGATGCAATAGCGAAGGCCAAACTAACTCTATTTCTGAGAGATGGACAGCTGCTCGAACGTATATTGACAGAGCAGCCAAGGATAAAAATGAAATCATATCAATATAAGAAAATAGAAATCATATCAATGCAAAAACAGAAATTATGTGAACACCGAACTCACAATAGATATGTGAACCCTTCTCACACACAGGAGTCCCAAAGAGGGACAGGTCAGACGAAATTGCCTAGGCAGAAGGCGACCTCTTAAACACCTAATGCAACAACAACAACAGTTGCTACGGCTTCAAACTCACCTTCCCCAACCAAGATACACTTCCACATGCCAGCAGACACCCAATAATAGACGGACTTAACATTACATGGCAGGTGCCCAAATGGTTCACACAAATACAAGGGGTAATATACATAGACCACAGGGACACACAAGAGGACATCCAGGACTACATCAACATGGCAAACAAAATCCACTCACAACCCAAGATTATAAATTACAAAAACATCAACAATCGCACACCCATCCCGGGCAGGACAACCACCCAAACAGTATTTCTGACATTCAAAACAACAGATCTCCCAACACACATCATTTTCGGCACACTCACATATAAAGTAAACCCCGTCAGGAAAAATCCCACCCAATGCACCATCTGCCACTCCTTCAATCACCCTACATCCACCTGCAGACAACCACCCATGTGTCAGAAATGCGGCTCGTATAGACACGAAGCCGCAGAATGCACATGGGCCCCATACTGCACACAATGTAAAACAGAGGGTCATACAGCAACTCAAAACACCTGCCCGATAAAACAAACACATATCCTCAAGCTAAATAAACACATCACAAAAGACCACCTACCAAAACCCGCCACCATCCTAACTTACAACTCCATACCTGAATACCTTGACCTAGACACCACATCTGACTCCATGTCCAGCTCCCTCCCCGAACCACCCCCACCTCCCCCTCCATGCCCCCAAAGAAACAAATGCAAACAACTCTTTGCCACCCATAACCGCTTACTAGCCCCAGCCCCCCCCCCCCCCCCCCCCCCCCCCTCATCCACCCCCACCCCCCAAACACCCTCCAACGCCCCCCGCAGGCAAAAAAATTCAACCGCCCTCAAAATGTAACACGGGACCGGGTTCCAGTTGAAGTTGACAAAATTATCAAATGAATAGTGAGATAAAACAAAACAGTGAGATGTGAAATTTGAGTTAATGAGCGGCCATTGAGCTGTGTTCACCAGACCGTAAATACAAGGTCGGCCCGTCTTAATTAGTGTTCGGTTGTTAGACTTTTATGGCATGAACCATTCCACTAGGGTCCCGTCTAGCCATTGTGGCTAGCCGACAGTAGAACAGTAGTGAATTTAGATGCAAGTTTATTGCTAGGGGAACCCCCGTGTTGACACGAATGTCGCGGGTTGGTAAATGTTCGCCATTAATAAAATGATTGTTTGTGGATTTGCGAACATATTCATTTGCCCACACGAGTCATTCCATTTGATTGCAAATATAACGTTTTTCGTTCGCCAAATTTATACTTTAGACAGTACAATTATGATATAGCCGTCACCACTACTAATGTCTCATTATTTCACGTAGGAATATGTCCCATTTCCCCACACCCCACTTTCTGTTTTGTATTTTGAAAGAATAAATAAAAGAAGGTTTTGTGTGGGACACTTTTATACTAATTATAAGAGGATGTTGTAAATGAATATGAACAGCCATGCTGTCTGACTGTTGATAGAATTTGAGATCTTCACAATCACCGGGTGTGACCATGTAGACAGAATCTCGTTAGGGTTTGTGATTTTTACATTTGCCCAATGACCATAGTGAGTATTGCTGGGGATACCAAACGTAACAGTTTATTATTAGAGGTTGTGAGTACCTATACCACGTAGATAGGATATATTTAGGATTTTAATCCTTCTTTGGGAGGCATTTAGAAGTTGGAGTACTACGTTAGGATAAGATTTATGGGTGACTTTAATCCTTTCTTTCTCTGTGGGTAATCCTTTCACGTTGATTGGAGGAAGTCACTCAACCAGGTCATGACAGGTCGTGAGTTTACTCACTAACTACTGTGAGCGTTTTTGGCATAACATCTTTTCTTGTATAAACATAGAAACGATGCTCACTCACTGTTAATCTTCTGCAGTTTGCTGGCAAAGTGGGGATAAACCTCAGTGCAAAGACGATCAAACTTAGTTCGAATCCTTGTTTATATGTGACATCTCCCAAATGGGGACATGTTCATAAACTTGGCAAGTGATGATGAATTTTAATATTAATATTATTATAGTTTATGAAATTGTTAATAAAACTTTAATAAAATTGTGCTTCACTCTCACGAAAAATATATTGTCTGTGAGTAAATTTATATGTCACGTTTCATCGGCATTTTTCAGTGATATTGGGACTACATGAAACATGGCTGGTTTTACATTTCTGATACAGGTGCTTGACTGACTGAGTAGTTCATGATCAATTAGATATGTTTAAATCAGTCAAGTTTGCAACAATAGATGAATAAGTTGATACATTTGGACCGCAGTTACCGATTAACAACTTAAGACATAGAGACAGGGAGGAGATATATAACCAAACCTATGGTCCTGTTGAGACAGTTGACAGTTAGAACGTTGGATTAAATGACAGTAACTAATTTGAACATTCCCCAGTAATATCATAAAATACATCATAACTCATAACAGTCCGAGAAACAGCTTCCAGCCATATACTAGTATTGAAGGGACAATCGCTTTTGACAGTTTAAAAATAAACTCACCTTAAGGTGCTTGGCAAGTCAAAACTGACCTCCCTGAATATGTTTTTTAGGTTTGACAGCAACTATGCTTGTGGATTTCAGAGATAGACATGATTTGTTAGCTAGATGTTATTACAATAAGCGAAAATGTCTTAAAAGTCCACAGTTTGTTTAATAGTACAAAAAGTGTGTTATAGATCTATCAACGTTTTCTTTTATTGAACATAATATTTGCACTATATTGCTGTTAGCTGTAAATAATCTAGCCTCCCCATGTACGTAACTTACATATATTTATGTATGACCAGAACAGCAAATAAAGTCCTGGTAGATAGTAACCTCGGAGATTTAACGTGCGCTTTCCGACTTAAGCCTATCTCGCACACGGAGAAGCACTTATACT